CATTCCTCAGCCCTCTGAAATGCCAGAACTTGATACAACACCAACAGAAGAACTCTCCTCTGCAATCGATGAACTCGCTTGCAGAAAAGCAGCAAGAAATGACAACACACCTGCTGAAGTGCTGAAAGAGAACTCTACAAAAACAAAGGGGACAAAGGAGATCGCAACAACTACAAAGGTGTCTCACTGCCAAGCATCACTGGAAAAGTCTTCGCTAGGATCATCCTGAAGCGACTTCAGAAACTAGCAGAAAGAGTCCTACCAGAGAGCCAATGCGGTTTTAGACGTTTTTTTAGTTGTTCAGACGTCTTTTCATCTCTTCGTTCGTCATCTTGCAACATTCTGGTTTCTTGTGGCAACATTTCCCACACTCAATACACCTCAGGCGCTGAGAACCTCCATAAGTTTTACGGATAGTCTCATTGCAACTCAAGCAATATACTTTAGCAGAGCTTGATGGGATTCCTGCTGGTTGGTCGCTACCCAGTGGAGGCTCACCTCTGTGGACACGGCATGTCCATTCTTGCCTGGAGCTCCACCTACTGATACCACTACATTTTGGCCCTTTGTGTGTCCTTTCTTCACATCCCTCCTGATTACATATCTTAGCTTTTGGTAGATTGGCTTCGCTAAATGCAACCCCACACTCGCCACACCGCACCAGCTCCTCTGGTCCCGGGTTTAGTTCAATGTCACCTGCACGATTCAATCTGATATTTCTGTATCCAGAGTAGATTGTGGTTTTTCCAGTCTTGATCTGAGGAACAGAAATGCGGAAGTCAGCGACTGGAAGTCTGCTCCCGCTCTCCAAAAACACGCTGGGACATGCTTGTTGCCAAAGGACAGATCTTCTTGATGTCTTCTCCCTGATAGGCGAGTAGAGGTGCCTCTTTGCAGTGACCTTGGAGTCGGCTGCAGAGCTTCCCCATTGGATGTGGCTGTCTTCGTTGAGAACATTACTCCCCATCGTGAAGGGGACAGATTGCCACTTTGAGTACCTGATGATGATGATGATGTTGATGATGATGATGATGATGATGATGATGATGAGGATGATGATGATGATGATGATGATGATGATGATGATGATGATGATGATGATGATGATGATGATGATGATGATGATGATGATGATGATGATCAATATCATCACCATCATCTCTTTATTTTCTTTATTTATCTATATATATTTCTTTATCTAAAACTTTCCAATGCAACAAAAAGCACCAACGGACAATCTCTCTCTCTCTCTCTCTCTCTCTCTCTCTCTCTCTCTCTCTCTCTCTCTCTCTCTCTCTCTCTTTCTCTCTCTTCTATGTCTCTGAAACCCCACGCCAACCCTTTTATATTTCCAGTCCTATACTTTAATGCTCTGCCGATATCTATAATTCTATGTCTCTGAAACCCCACGCCAACCCTTTTATATTTCCAGTCCTATACGCTCTTCACCACCCAATCCCACCATCTGAAAAACTCAACAAAATGAATAAATTGTTTTAAAAATGAATAAATAGAATCGACTTTATGAACCCCATTTACTGTTTACACAGACATATGTGGTGGAGGTCAGTTCCGTTGTGGTGACAACAGCTGCATCCCTTACTTTTGGAGATGTGATGAAGACAATGACTGTCCCGGTGCTGAGGATGAGAGAGATTGTAAGTAATAGTAATGATAATGATAATAATAATAATGATACTTACTTAATAACCTCCCTATACTGCCAGGTACATAAGGCAGAGAGTAGTCGACGCAACGTTTGTTGGTCCGTGACTACGTACTCCAGTCTCGGCACATCGAGGCCCTGGGTGATTGCCTTATCCCATATTGTGCCTCTACAGCTTCCAGTTGGTCTTCCTCTTTTTCTTTTTCTTGTTGGTTTCCAATACCATACATGATAGGGCAATCTCGTCTTCAGTGTTCTTAGAACATAATATCATATATTTCTCCACCTTCTCTTTTTTACGATCGCGTTGATATTTTCAATAACAGCTCTTTGCAATGCATGTACTTTAATAGGCAGAAGTCATCCTCCATTTGTCCATGCAATGCTTGTTTCATTGTCTTTGTTCTGCCTCATTACAAAATCTATCACATTTCCAAGAAGTACATGTGATAATATACAGCCTTGTCTGACTCCATTACTAACTTCAAAAGGTGTAGATAGTTCTCCTTCAACTAGGACACAGCAGCTTGCATTGGTGTACAAAGACCTTATTCAGTTTATTATTTTTGTTGGGGTGCTATAAATTGCAAGAATTTTCCACAGAGCCTTCGGTCTATGCTTTCAAAGGCTTTTTTAAATAATTGGGACATTCCTTTCTTTGTTTTAATCTATAGTTGTTCTCAGAAAAAACAGTTGGTTTGTACATGAACCCTCCGGTCGAAATCCCACCTGTTCCTCTCACAGTCTCTCATCTATTGCTGTTCTGAGACATGCCAAGATAATAGTGTAACAAAGTTTTCCAGGCATTGATAAAACTTTATTCCTCTCTAATTG